GTTTATCATTAGGAAACTGCAAATCAAACCACAGTGAGATTTCACCTCACCAGTTATTAGCAAAAAGTGAACAAACAATAAATGTTGATGAAGATATGGAGGTAAAGGAATACTTATGCACCAATGGTGAGAATGTATACTGCTACAGTCACACAGAAAACAGCATGAAGGTTTCCCAGAAAATTAAAAATATGATGTAGGGCCCTCCCTGGTGGTACAGTGTTAACAGCACTAAGAAGCTAAAGCCACTTCAGCATGAGTTCGATCTCTGCCCTGGAGGTGATCCACATGGCCCAGAATCAGTCTGCCTGTTCTGCTCCACACTGTCTCTGGTGAATCCTCTCCCTGCCCCTACACCTCTGTCCTGTAACCCAGTTCTGTATGCACAAATAAATAAATCTTTAAAAAAAATATATGACCTAGCAACCCTACTTTTGGGTATTTACCCAAAGACTATGAAAATACTAATTCAAAAAGAGAGTTGCATCCCTATGTTCACTGCAGCACTAGTCAATAGTCAAGATATGAAAACAACCAAAGTACCCAGTGATTAATTTAAGAAATGGTTTACATACACAACGGACTACTATTCTTCAGTCATTTAAAATTCTTTTTTTTTTTTTTTAAAGATTTATTTACTCATATAGAACTGGGGTACAGGCCAGAGATGCAGAGGGTGAGAGGCTTCACCAGAGACAGAGTGGGGAGCAGAACAGGCAGATCGATGAAGTACACTGCTGAGGGGAGCAGCGGGAGGGTCAGGAGAGGTCTGCTGCGCCATGTGGAGCTCCTCCAGGGCAGGCGGGGATCGAACTCATGCAGAAGTGGCTCAAGCTTCTTAGTGCAGTGCTTTAACCCGCTGCGCCACCAGGAAGGGCCGCCTTAAAAATCTTTTAAAAAGAAATCTTGCCACCTTCAAGTACATAGATGAATCACAAGACTATGCGCAATGAGATAAGAAAGAAAAAGACAAATATTCTATGATTTCACACATTTGGGTATCATAAAGGAACAAAGCAAACAGAACAAAACCCTTCAACTGACAGAATGATGGTTATAAGAAGAGAGGCTAGAACAGGTAGAGGGGGGTGACTGGCTGGCTGGTGGGTAGATGGTGACTGGATATTTGGTGCTGGGTGAGGTGTGACATACAGATGCTGAGAAGAGGAAGCAACCTAAAATGCATGCAATGTTGTAAACTAATGTTATCTCAATTGAAGAAGAAAAAAGGGAATGCTAGGGTTAAGAAGCATTATATAACTTAATTAAGTACAACAAACACAGCAACATAGAATTTCACATCTAGAAGGGATTATAGAGGTGATCTGGAACAACCAGATTTCTTTTTTAATGCTAATCCCACATAGGAGTGACAAATTCATGTCACTCAATTGAGAAAACAAAAATTCAGACACTGCTCATGCTTATCAAACATGCATAACACTCCTTTTAAATATAGTTCCACTAGGCAAAGATTTTTTTTTTATTCAGTGTTAAGATTTCAGCCACCTGCAGGCCCTCTCTGGTGGCGCAGCGGGTTAAAGTGCAGCACTCTGAAGCTATCCGCACCCACTGCAGCACCAGTTGATTCCCAGCAAGGGAGATGACCCATAAGACACTGGGCAGACCTCTCCTGGCCCACCTGCTGCTCTCCTCAGCAGTGTATTTCAGTATATCCACCTGTTCTGCTCCCCACTCTCATCCCCCACACCTCTGGCCTGTAACCCAGTTCTTGTATGCATAGATAAAAAAAAAATCTTAAAAAAAAATTTCAGCCATATTAAGTGGAAATATGAGCCTATCTAAATCTTTTAGGGGTTAATCTTCCCTATCATTTCTTACACCAATGCTTAAATAGTTGTGACTGCTAATGACTTCAAAGATATTTAATCCACAAATTCTAGGCATAAAAATCCTGAATGTGGGCCCTCCCTGGTGGTGCAGCAGGTTAAAGCACAGCACTAAGAAGCCTAAGCCACTTACGCATGAGTTCAATCCCCACCTGCCCCGGAGGTGACCACATGGCGCGGCAGACCTCTCCTGACCCACCCGCTGCTCCCCTCAGCAGTGTACTTCGTAGATCTGCCTGTTCTGCTCCCCACTATGTCCCTGGTGAATCCTCTCACCCTCCGCATCTCTGGCCTGTACCCCAGTTCTGTATGAATAAATCTTTAAAAAAAAAAAAATCCTGAATGTGAATATATGCTCTAGCATTACTCAGCATTTTGGACAAGTTACCTAGTGCTCCCAAGAAATTGTTTTTTCACTTATAAAAGGGAGACCCTGACTTTATGACTTCATAGGAACACAAAAAACAAATTATGTGAAAACATGTTTGGGAAGACAACTGATACACATATAATAAGTAGTAGTTGTAATTATAAGATCTCCAAATGTCCACATTTCACTAAAAAAAAATTGCCCCAAATATTCAACTGTAAAATCCTAATAGCTTATATTAATAGTTGTTGATTTGGCATGACATACTTGATGTCAATCTCCAGTAACTCTTCTACCTAAATTTCCTTTTAGAAAAATAGAGCAAGATGTTAAAACAGATATAATACCTACATTTTATTATTTTTACAGAGCAAACACTTTCACTACATCCCTTATAAGGGCAGAAACAGTATCTTAAGACATCACTTTAGGTACAGTAACTACCAGGCTAGCACTCAGCTTAGTATCAGAATAAACTTTCAAGAAAAGAGTAAAATGCACACATAAATACACAAGATAGAAAGATCTGGCCTACACCGACACCTGCCAGCACACCACACATCCTAGCACAAGTCTATCAAATTCCTAGAGACTTCACTACTTTTTAAAGGTCTATTTGTCAAGTCTACAAAACTGTTTTAATCCCAACAACCCAAAATAATGCACAAACAAGGTACTTGGTGACATAATGAAACAAAGTTTCTCGCAAAGTTGATGTATGCACTTCACCCATAGTAGAGATCTAATGATTTTTATTTCCTGTTTTTATAACAAACTTGGTTATTTGGCTATGAAAAGATTGTCAACTTGATGGTTAAAATCAGTAAAATAGATCAAATGTGGAAGGAATGAGAAATTGGAAAAACCGTAAAGGTTCCTCTTCCTTATGAAATGAAACCAGACCTGCCCAAAATAGCTCAGTTCCAAAATCAATCCCCTCCACTCTTCATTCACTGCCTGAGCTTCCTCCTCATGCCTCAGCTCTCCTCCAGCCTTCATTGGGGACTATTGGTGAGTCTAGTCCCTTTGCCTCTGGAACTTCATAGTGCCCTTCAAACTTAAACAACTTTTAAAAAACCACAGGTGGAGAGACCAGTGGAATAGAGAGCTCATAGAGACTCAACTTTCCACCTAAGTTCCATGCTGTGAAGTTGATTATTAGTCAAAACCCCTGTTTTAAGTGCGTGGCTTTGAGTTAGAGCAAAACTAACATTATTATAGTAGTCTCCATCTTATCCCAAAATTAGACTCAATTCCTAATTAATTCAATGTTTAAAGGTTACGATAAAACAGTGAATGTTCAACAAATACTTCATTCTAATGTTCTCGACAGTTATCCTACTCATTAACCTGGGAAGAAATGATAAAGCCCTCTTTTTTTTTTTTTTAAAGATTTATTTGTGCATACAGAACTGGGGTACAGGCCAGACACACAGGAGCAGTGAGAGGACTCACCAGAGGGGGGGTGGGCAGAACAGGCAGAATGATGAAGTGCACTGCTGAGGGGAGCAGTGGGCGGGTCGGGAGAGGTCTGTGGGTCACCTTTGAAGCGGGGATCAAATTTGGCTTTAGCTTCTTAGTGCAGTGCTTTAACCCCCTGCGCCACCAAGGAGGGCCTAAAGCCCTCTTTTATAGTTCACTTTTCTGTACTTAAATTCATTGCTTCACTTAGCTGTTTATATAACATCATTATAATCACAAGGAAATGTAATCTAACTTAAAGCAACATAAAAGTTGGCTTTTAAAGAGTTATCGAAGAGGTATATTATATAGAGAAGTGGATTACTTGAAGTTAATTTACCCTCAGTGATTGCTAACTCTTTTAAAGTGCCATGTTCTATTCACTAACCAGAAGTAATCAGTTCCATGAAAGTGACCACACCTGCCAATTCTGATCTCTAAAGCACACAATACTACAGTCTTCAGAATACTTAACAAATATTTCTGAGACTGGCTTTCAAAGAAACCCAAATGCATGATTCTTCTGGAAAGTTAAATATACCCAAAATCTTAACAATCTTGGACTATATGATGGAAACAGATTTTAGATGCTAAGAAAACGTAAGAACAGAGGGCGAGTCCAAGCCACACAGCTGAGAGCTTTATCCCTAAGCCACGCAATTAAATCAGGAGTCTTGAATTATAATCAACTTCACTGCGTGTTACTAAGTGGAAAGTGGAGCCTCTCGCCCAGCCCTATGTTCTCTCGACTCCACCGGTCTCTCCGCCTATGGTGTTTTTATTTTTTTTAACAGTTTAAGTTTGAAGGTCACTAAGGTCCGGAGACAAAGGGTCTAGAACCAGTCTCAGTCCCCAAGGAATGCTAGGGCAGCGCGTAACTGAAGAATGGAGGGGAGAATGCTGAAAGTCTTACCCAGTACACATGAAGGTAGCCCAGAACACACCTCTCAGGAGCAGGGCGAGCAACAAAAATCACGCCCCCTGCACCCCGCCTCGCCCCAACTCAGTCCCATTTCCAGAGTCCCTTTCTGTTCAATAAGAATTTCCCACAAGAGCCCTGGGCTGGGGGGCGCAAGGGTTTGTCCCACTTTGCAGAAAACGCTGGAAAGAAAAACACAAACACCAGGTCACCAGAAAATCAAGCCGTGTCAGAGGTGGGAGCAGACACCAGAAGGCCTGGGGATTTCGCCCCAGTGGGGACCACCGCCGCAGGGAGCCAAAGCCCGGGGACTAAGGCCAACCAGGCAGACGAGCTGCTGACGCTGTCGCTTCCGAGACTCGGGAGACTTGGAGGCCGGCCGCGGAACCACGCTACTCACGTTGAACGAGCCGGTCTCCGCTGAAGGTGGCGGAGCAGCTAGTGACCAGTGCGCAGGGAACACCAGCAGCCATCGCTGAGCCGTGTAGCCGCTTCCTCCCGGGCGCTGCTTCCGCCTCGGGACGTGCCACTGCCACCCGCGTGCGGGGGGGACGCCTCAGGAAGGGCGCATTGTCCATATATACCCGCGGCCCTGACTCCTCCCTCCTCCCCCCTCTTCCGCTTCCGGCGTAGGAAAGGCCGGACAGCGTGGTGTTGCCATGGAGACAGCGCCCTCACTTAAGGTGTCTGCGCGTTGGTGCGGGCGGTAGCCCTCCAAGCCTAACCATGGCACAGCCGATTGAGAGCTACGACCCCATTGGAACCATCTTAGTCCAGGTGGGAAATGGGCCTCTCCGGGCCTGCTAGCTAAGACTTCTAAGCGAGACAACGCGGCGCCGATCCCCCTCGCGCTCACCCAGGTTGAGAAGGGACCCCAAACTGCCTCCATCCGGGAGGGGCGGCGCCGGCCCACCCCGACCTCAACCCAGAGCCTGACACACCTCCAGAAGCATGACTGTTCTGCTTCTGGTAACATTCCAAGACCAGACCGCACACCTCAGCTCAGAACCTTTATTTTGGGGAGGGAAAAAGGGCAAACTTTTAAAATGTTGGGTTCTGAAAAGTCTGAACCCCTATTGGGGGCGATACAAATCAGACACGTTGGGGAGATGATTAACGATGTGGGGAGAAAATGATACATGTGAACTGCTTTTCAGCACCCCAATTCTTGGCTCTAAAAGTTCCTTGCAAATAAAATAAGTCCTGGGGAGGTAATGGGCAGCATAGAGAAAAGTTAATAATATAATATTGTATATTTGAACGTTATTAAGGAGTAGATCTTAAAAGTTCCTCTTACCAAAAAAAAAAAAAAGAAAAAATGTATATGGTGATCATATCACAATATACACAAACATTGAGTCATATTATAATGTTGTACACCTGAAACTACTACAATGTTATATCTCAATAAAAAATAATTAAATAAAATAAGCCCCCTGCTTGGGCATCACAGACGAGAAAATATATAAGATAACTTGAATTCAAATCAACTTAATTTTTTTTAATACAGCAAAGTGACAAATTCAAAAATTCAGAAAAATAACCTTTTCAAGTCTGAGGGGGGAATATATCAAAAAAGGTTTAACTTCTCCAGTATTAGTCAGTTTGTGATAGTTACCCTCAGATTTTCACTTCTGCTTGGGACTGTGATTTATTTCCTTCAAACAGGGTCCAATAAGTGATACAGCTAATGGAAAGGTCACTTGATGGGAATCAGGATACTAAGATCTGACCCTGGTAGTGACATTCTTCCAGGTGACTGACTTTGTGCTAGTCACTTTACCTTCCTGGACCTGACTTCTCTTTTACAATACACACAGCTTGGATTTGCTCTACTTTTGATTCTACATTAACCCAATTTCCCCAAAGCTACATGATTTCTGTTTTATAAAGTAGACTTCCTTGTCTGTTATCCTAAGCAATTAAATTGTTTCTATCCATTTACATACAAGTGTGTATGTGTGTGTGAAAGAGAGGACAAAAAAAGTAGTTACTTCAGATGTCAGTAGCTTCATTCTAATATGGGTATTAGGTATGTATCTCAATCAGATATATTAAGCAACTCTTTAGACCAATGGTTCTCACAAGGGTTCCAGGACTGGCATCATGAACACCAGCTGGGAATTTGTAAGAAATGTAAATTCTCAGGCCAAACCTACTAATTTGGCTTTCAAATAATCTTGAAGCACATTCAAGTTTGAAAACTACTATTATTGCTGTTGTGGATCACATTGTGAAATATCAACTATAACATTTCAAAGGAAAAAAGTCACAATAATCATAGCTTACATAGTATTTACCAGGTCTCATATACAATTCTAAATACTATGGCTATTTGAACTCATTTAAACCTTAAAACAAAGCTATCCCATAAGTACTACTATTATCTTCACATTATGAAAAAGAAATTGACTAAAAATGAGTGTTATAGCAGAATCATCCATTGTATTTAGAAAATAAAAACATTCTTAAATCTTTTCAAGCCATCGATCTTGATTTAAAAAAACACGTTTTTCTGGGCCTTTCCTGATGGTGCAGCAGGTTAAAGCACAGCACTGCAGGCTAGCCACAGCTGCTTCAGTGTGAGTTCGATCCCCTGTCCTGGAGATGACCCACATGGCACAGCAGACCTCTCCTGACTCACCTACTGCTCCCTTCAGCAGTGTACTTTATCAATCTGTCTGTTCTGCTCCCCACTCTGTTCTGGTGAATCCTTTTACCTCCCATGCACCTCCTCTGGCCTATACCCCAGTATACACCTAGTAAATTTATGCTGTATGCATAAATAAATAAAATCCTTTAAATAAATAAATAAGTAAATAAATAACTCATTGTCCCTTGTCTCATTTTGCTAGTCTAGATATTTAAATATTGTCTCATCCACAGAATTTTCACCCACATCTAACTTTGTATGTTTACAAATACATAGTTGTATATTTATAGATATTATGTATATGCTGGTTAATGAATACCAACAGTTAAGTAGCTGTGTTACCTCGCACAGGTAACTTAGCTTCTTTAAATGTCACATTCCCTCAAGTAAAAATGAAGATAATAATATGAACTCCCTCTTAGGATTCTTGTAAGGATTAAAGTATAGGATAATACATATTGTATAGCATTCAGTAATTATTATTACTAGGTTTGGTCTCTTGCCTTTTAATATTGTTTAGTTTTGGGTACATTAGTGTGCCTTTTACTCAGAGTTCCTAAAGAAAAAAGAAAAATTAATTTTTTTTAAAAGATTTATTTATTTATTTGTGCATACAGAGCTGCGGTACAGGCCAGAGGTTCAGGGGCGGTGAGAGGCTTCACCAGAGACAGAGTGGGGAGCAG